GAAATGAGCAGCTGCCAACAACCAGCCTCTGCCATGAAAAGTGTATCCAGGTTGGCCCATAACTAATACCTGTTTTGCAAAAGATTTTGCATTATTATTATCAGTATTACTGTTCTCTTATCAAGAAGTAAGCAGTGTTACGTGTCACAGCGCCATCCTGTACTGATTTTAATAGGAACTGTGTTAATGCTATGCCTCTATCTTTGGTGAACAGTTACGTGTGGAAAGCAACTTATGTATCAAGAGTAAACCTTTTAAAACAAAGAGTTTTAAAATAAACAAATTTGGTCTTACTCATGTATAAATATAAAGATTATTTATGTGTCATTTTAGCTTTTGAAAGGATTGCTTATAAATATAAATATAAATATAAACATTATTTATGTGTCATTTTAGGTTTTAAAAGGATTGCTTATATATAAGAATTATAAGTCAATAAAGTATTTTTGATAATATCGAAAGTATAAATTGTTTATACTTTGCCTATTGAAATTTAGAAAAGAAGAAGAATATTTCAAGAATGTAGCTTAACCCTAGATCATTTTCGTCACGAGTCATATCGTGTGACGTCACGAGTCATATCGCTTGATTTCTATCGTTTTCAGCTCAATCATTTGGATTTCGATCTTATGAAATCTTTGATATGAGGGAAGGGTAGATTTGGTTAAAAACGAAAACTTCTTTGGACTAAATAGCATCATGTGAGTTAAAAAACATCGATACTTTCCACAAAATGTACAGAAGAAATTATCTGTTTGTTAAGGAGACGACGTCTAAAAGGAATTCCTAACATGGGGTTCAGAAAGGACTGGAGATCCAGCCAAACGAAAATACAAGTCTATTCAACGTGCAAGAAGCAATGAGTATATGACGTCATACATTTGTATGTGTAGAGTCTGTATATAGTACTTTCCCAATTATAATTCCACTTAAGTCCTTTAGATATATCATGTAGAATCTACCTACTGCCAGCCTAATGAAAATTTTGACTTTGAAAGGCCAAAGCTGTAAAGTAAGGCTTTTCGTAAGCGTGGAACTTCATTGCAGATTCTGATACAAAAGTGCATTCGGGTGTTGTGCAAAAGGAAAATTGTTGTAATTTCAAAATATTTTGCTATAGCAGGAATGCTAAGCATGTATATTCATACAGTGCTGTACAAGGCTTCTCGACCTCAATCTGATTAATTTTATACTTAGAATTTGTTTATAATGCAAAGTATTTACAATTATGATTTGTAAAAGAGACTGTTTATAAAAACATGATTTTCACATGCGAAGTAAGTGCAATCTTTAGAAGGGGACACAGTATCGATATGCTTGAATTCTTTACTTAATTGCATTAAATGTGCCAGCACCAGCTTCATAGGTTCTTTAGTATCACAAAAACTGCAGCAAATCTTTGATAGTTTTTATGATTAAAGTATCTATAGGTTTCGTATATAGGTCTCTGGAAAAAACTTAGCAAGCCTCAAAAATATGTAAGAAAAGCCTCCAGTTATGGGATTTTTAATCAAATTTTGATTTGTCCTCTGCAAGGATTTTGTGGGCTCAAGCATAAAGCTCAAAATTTTGTGGGCTCAAAATTTTCATAAACAATTTTTCATTAATTTTACATACTTAGTATTATTTCATAAATCTTATTTTCATTGAACGTATTATTTGGATCATATATACCGTAAATCCTCGAATTGGCCCCCTTCTTAAAAGTCCCCCCTCCTGAATAAACTCCCACCCTAGAACGTATGATTTAGTTCATATATAGTCATTTTTTCACTATTAATGAGTAATTTTTGAAAGTTATGTAAAAAACATAGATTTTTATAGCATGCCAAAAATATATTTGACAAAGGGGGTGCTCGCTTGTAACGTATCTATTGAGAGAGCTCCTCCTGTGTCCAACATCTTACGAACTTGCTATTTATCATATGTTACTACAAGTATGTATTATCTTCTAAAATCCTGTTGTCTGTAAAGTATGTCTATGTAATTCGTAATCACTGTCTGTAATTAGTGTTTTAGTGAGATATGCGAATTTTTCAGGTTCGGCAAGGAAGCAAGGGGTTACATGGGCATAGGGGTAAGACGAAAGGGTGGCTGGGGAACATTTGCTTCTTATCGTTACTTTAATCCAATTGGAACTGCTAGAGTGTCATGCTCTGCAATATTTTGAAAGCTTCTCATTTCCCTTTCTGATATTCCTTCTTATGTAAACATATCGTAAAAACGCTGAAGTTCAACAAACACTATTTGCCCTTACACACAAGCATTTCTTCCAGGAATTCACTCTCCAAAACTATCAATGGATTGAAATATGAATATATTTCAAATCTGGAAACAAAAATGTACGTATATGAGACTGATATAACCTGCCAAGATGGTTAGACTGTTTCTAAAGTTTTAATTTGTTTTTTGTAGCTAGAATGTGGCAAAGCATTTAAGTCAAAATAAATTTCTTTTTCATTGAAGGCAAAGCTGTACTTTGTAACTGTTTCTTTGTCGTAAATAAATTCATAGTAAATTTTTTTGTTTTTCTTTGAAAAGAAATTCCATAAATATGCTCCATTTTGAGATTATACTAAAACTTATTTGATGAAATGGGAATACATTTGCGGATAGTGGTTTTTGTAATTCTAGTTTATGAAACGAAGTAAATTGGCAGCCATTGAAAGAATTGTTAAGAACCGATAAGCCCATGACATATTTCAAATAAGTGCATATGAAAACCTGCGACTCCCTGAGATATACATTTCTTGTTGCAAAAATCTTTCCCAAGCATGAAAAGGGACTTTTCTTTTCCAAACTCAGTAGTGTATGCTTAGTGTAGCCCTAATCCTAGAACCGTTTGACCAATGAAAAAATTCTACATGTTTTTACATGAATATTAACAAGTTTTTCCGGCCCCGATATTTAGAAATTTGAATCTCAAAGTATTCTATTTTTTTCAAATTTGATATGGTTTTAGGGGAACATCACCTACTTTTGGATGGGAACCCAGCTTTTTGAAAAATACGAGTTATGAACATCTCAAAAAAGCAACTGCGACACAAATTTTTGAGCTGAGGCTGGGCAATATTCTTATGGTAATCTTGGCCTGAATATTCTTACAAACAATAATCCTATTAAAAAGGGTGTAGCTGATTTCGTTGTAAAATGTTTAGATGGCTAGCCCTTAGCTTTTACGAAAAAGCTGAGACAACGCAATTTCCCTTGTGTGTAGGTAAAAAGGACAAAATGCATTGATTTTAGAATAAGCTGTTAAGAAGGGTCTTTCAAAATGAAAGAATTTTGCTTTTTTAGATTTTTCTGAGGTTTCATTTGAGGCAAATAGATTTTGTTGTATCGAATTTTGATCACGCATGCTGGTTTAAAAAACAAGTTGATATACTCATGTTTTACACCACACAAGTTTGATTTTCACAACGTATTACTCCTTAGAAACAACTGTTAAGAATCAAAATAACTTGAAAATTCCATGAATAATAAAGACTGGAGAAAATGACACTGCATTGTGTGGATTCCAAAGAGTGATGATATTGTGGTATTGCTGATTCACTCGCAATGTATTGATGGACGACCCAGCAAAATAATTCTGCATAACATGTTTACGATCCAAAATAGAGCATATATGTCAAAGCGAAAACATGTAAAAATCCCATATAAAAGATATACACGAAACCAAAATTAGATTAAACTAATAATCCATATGGTTAAGTGGAATTGCAGCATAATTTAATGTTAATCCTGACTGCCCTGAGGCTTCGATGCATCAATTGCAATTAAACAAATAAATTCTTCATTGATTTAAGCAAAAAGACAAACAAATAATCCTTGATAAACAATATGAAAAGAGCATCGTCTTTAAAGCACAAAGTTTAATCAAATATACAAAGTTAGTTTAACAAATCCAAGACAGTGACAGAACATGATTTATTGTGGTCCTCTTAGAAAATATCTTGTGGTGAATTCTGACGTATTCGTATATATTGTCCTGTTTTGTGTTATTCAATGTCTTTTGAACTTAACAAAGGGAATTAAGACCTCCATGATTCAGAAACAAAATGCGATTGAGCGAAATCACGATGGATCATTATTCAATACACTTCTTAAGGTTCCCTATTGATTGCCAATTGAATGTATGTTTTTTCCAAGAGACATAAATTTTTTGTCGATGAACAGTAGTTTGCAGAGAAATTAATGTTAAAAAAAAGAAGGCAAAATTAAGAGCTATTTAGACTGATGAAATCTAGGTTTAGATCTTAAAAAGGTTTAGATTTATGTTTTTCCTCCAGTTGTTATATGTCGGAAGGAATATTATATTCAAACAATCTTTAGGTTGTACAAAAATTGAAAATGGCTTTGAAAAAAAGCAAACATTTGAGTAAACTGAAGCTTTTCATCTGCACTCTTCAGAGTCTAAAAGGTCAGAACATAGATCGAAAACTCTACGCTAGGAAATATAATTAGTTTAATCAAGTTTTTGCTTTTTTCAAAGCCATTTTCAATATTATATTCGATATGCTTTTTCACATGCATCATGGCCTTACAATTTTTCTCGGGTTGTGATTCTGAAAAACTTTTGGTAAGAATTAAGAATCCTGGAAGATATTTACAGCTGCCTTTTCACGAAAGGATAATGAAATTTTGAAGAAAACCTGGCTTTTGGAGACTTGAATCTGGATAGCGAAGACGATAGTTTGGCTAGTAAGCAAAATTCTATTTCATCGTATAGAGTGGGTAAATTTCCTAAAAATTGTGAATTTGAGAGACTATTCATGAATCAGTAATCTTATGGAAATGAATTTGAGAATGCACCACAGTAACAAAAAAGAAATTTTTCATTACGCATTAATTTTTTTCCTAAAATGGCTTTTTAAGCAAGGTATGGTGAAACCTATACAAGATTCGTCTTGGTCAAGTGCTCTTTTTCATTTGATCGACTTTTCTATATCCACTTTAGCAGTTTTTTAAATAAAAGAAGTAGATAAATAGATACAATCGTGTTTTCTGTATATTTTCTTTCAAAAATGCGAAATTCCCTACGAATCTCAGGCATAGAATAAAATTAATAGACTATTTCATCCAGTTAATAAATACAATTCTTCTATTTATTTACAAATCTTATTATAAATTAATGTTGAGTCATTGACTCTGAGTTTCGCTGCCTCGAATTGGTTCATCGTGAGCAAGTGGTCATTTCCTGCAAAGTCCATTGCTTACCAAGAATACCGATAGGCCAGCGTGACCTCTGTTTTGGCTTGACACCTTTGCAGTTTTTAAAGCCAATTTTAGATCTGCCTCTAATGGGTGCAGAAATCTCGTTTCAAAGGCTGAGCTTCAGTGGTAATGTTGAAATGAAACTTCGCATTAACCCTGCCACATTCCAAGCAAGCGAAATCGCAAGCAACGTCCGGTTCGTCTGTCCCTGCGTAAACAAGTTCTTCTACGACCTCCTCTTGATGGTCCACGTTTCCGTCTCTGCGATCTTTCTACTTTCTCTACCATTCTAAAAGCGTTGTTGAGTGCCCTTTGCAGAAGATTTCTCACTCTCTGGAGCTCGACAGCTTGAATTTCTTTTGTTGATTTAGTGACCTGCAGACTCTCTGCTGGCTTGCTTTCTGGTACTTCAATGTTTGGTACCTTCGGTGCGGGCTTCGACGAACTGGTACAGATGTTGACGAAAATCACGAAGAACACCAAATACATCGTGGATTTCATTTTTAGCACTGAAAAAGAAAAATATGAATTAAGTCAACTATGCAATAAGGATAAAATAGTTAAAAGAGAAAACGTTTCGATGGACTTGAAATCTAATTGGCTTGACAACCACCTTGTAATCTAATGGGCACGATAACCATCAAGGGAGCCTAGGGGTATCTGGTCGAGCCAAAAAATCTTGTATTTTTGTCAGGTCAGTGCAGTTTGTGATCAACCGCGCCTGATATCTCAAGTGTCGTGAGTTTTAAGATACACGTTACCTCTCTCACTTTCTAAAAACTTGTAGAAGCTAGTGATTGCGGTGCTCAATCAATCAAAATCGCTCGATACTAAAGAGCTACTAAAATCTAACGGAATAAACCCATCGACTTCAATTGACAATTATTAAAGAATCTAGAAAGATATGATTTAGGACAGACTTGAAATGCAAGCTTGAGCTAAACAAGTAATTTCCTTTCAAGAAAATAAGCAATGGCTGCTCTTAGCGTCTCAATCAACAAAGATGACGCCTATCTCATTTGAGGCAACCAAACGATCAAGGTATTTAATCTCATCAATTTTCGATGTATTGTCCTAAATAACATAAGGAAGTTGTCATCATACGGCATGGCCTTGTGGGATTTTCTTGCATTGAATCGTGGTAACTTATCAATGCCTCATTCAGGTGCAGGATAATCAGGTAACATCGGGCTCCCTTTTCACTTCAATCAAACACCCCTTGTGCCAACGATCGATGGATTACAGACGCCCGACTTTGTAGTAAACATTTATTAGCCCTTGACAATTAGAGACACAGGGATAGGGTATCTATTAACAGGATTCCATAATGCAAATATGATTACAACTCATCTTTTGTCAGTTAACAACAAAAACGGATACGGTAAGCTTCTTGGATTTTGAAATTTACTCACAACTCTAAAACTTATGTTAACGTGTTGTTTGCAATCGGAAATCTTTAAGAAATGAAAATATGACCTTACTCTTTTATTGGTCAATTATGTTTCTTTTAACGTACAACTGGTTCTGACATCTACATCGTATTTTGCCTATATTGCTACTGCCTTCACTGCTTTCTACCTCTTCTTAATACCTCAATGCACACCGCCAAATTCTTGAAGGTGCGAATTTTCCACAAAGGTTAATAAAGCGAGCAAGAAAGATACCTGCATCAATTACTGTTGCTCGAAAATATTGCCTCGGGGAGGCAGTCTCAATAATTGCCATTAAACTCTGTTGGCAACGAACATTAAAGGAATTTCTCATACTAGAATTAATTTCCAATGCCTTAACCATGAGCTTCGAACATAGAAAAGCGAAATGTTACTGAGTCATGGGTTTATTTACCAAAGTGACAACCCGACTCAGTTTTATCTGCGGCTCAGTGTTAAAAGTCGCCAGAAGAGATTAGAAAAATTTAAGAGATATCAACGTGCTCGAAAAAACAGGAAAGCAAACCCTTATTTTCTTTTTCAGTTAATGCAACTGAATTTGTGATCTTTAATTGTAGTAATATTGTGCGTCATCAACACCGTTCCATAAAGGCCAACAATTTGAAAGACGGTTTACTTTTCAGACACATGAATATCGCATTTCATAAAGCAACCAATGCTTTGATTTATACACCTGTTTATGTCTCATTAAGAATCGTTACGCAAACGGTCGATAATATCGCAAATATCACGAACTGTCCAACCTCCTTGAAGAAGGCGGCGATTCTCATATCTACTACATTACCCAAGCGGTGCCTGATCGAACATCGAACGTAACGTCAAACGCCATCGTTGAAAGAGGGCAGGCCCTAGACAGAGACCTCGCTATGTTGGAAAGTTTTCGAATATCACATACACGTGAGATACTCCGAGGCAAGCACTAGTTATTCGCAAGTAATGATAGGATGTTTCCGGATTATAAGGTGATTTATCCGCCTGAGGCTCATGTTGGACCAGGCATTGAAGAACTGCCGCTGGAACGCAAGGCAGAAGTTGATAAAACCCGAAGAGCGTTTAATTGACGATTAATTATTAGGATAACTTGCTGAAATATTGTTCTTTTGATTAGTGCGCACTGTGATTAGAATTTTGCGATTAACTTATCGATCCAAAACAGGTGATATCGCAAAACAGCCTATATTTTGGAACGGCCGGTAATCTCCTACTTGGCCGCATTTGTATAAAAATCAGAATAGAAATTTCTTTGTTAATCAAATGTAACAAACGCCAAATTTTCAAAGGGCGGAGGATTTCGCGATGTTTTCGTAGCAACATGGGTAATATCCGCGAAAGACTTCGTATTCAAAGAGATCCTAAGAAATTTTTATGGACGCCAAGTAGGTTCTTAGAAACAAAGTTGATTATAGCCTCAGTGAGATAATTCATTTTGAACACAAGGTTAAAAACAATATTTCTTGACATTTCAAAGTTTCTAAATATTTATGTTGAAACAATCGTAAAGGAAGCGAAACTATATACTTCTCCTAATTAAGAGAGTCTTATAAAATCTAACTTCCTTTTCAAGAAAATACCTTAAATGCGGAAACAAATAATCAAATGATATGTTAATATGATTTTTTGTGTCAAGTTTAACTTTTTCGAAAAGAAACTAGGAAAAACTGCAATGATCTGTTTGCTAAAGTGGCCAAAAGTGTCGGTTTCGTTTCCAATAAAATCATAAGGCTCCCTTTAAATCTAGCACCTTTGAACAACCCATGAACTCGTTGTTATTCTATCTCATATGGGAAAGTTCACGAGTACAGTAGTACTTAACAAAGAAGATTAGTTTTGTTGACTTTTCCCTTTTCGAGATTGAACTTGATAGTATCTCACAGGATAACGTTCCGATCGCTTCTGAAAACCCATAACAGGATGTCAAAACACTTATTTCGTTTCGTAAACAATTTTCTTTTTACTGAGAATGTTGGTAATTTTACCCTTCGTTTAGTATTCACTAGTATTCGTTTGGTATTTACATACTTAATAAAACTGAGGGGAAAATTCCCTGTATCTGTACTTTTGCCCAAACGGTCTCGGTAAATCTTATGTACCCAGCAAAAAACACGAAAAAGGTGCAAAAAATGAAACTCACCTTCTTAAACACACTTCGATGTCCTTTCCAAGATTCAATCTACGAAGCTGCGAGTTCTCTCTAACTGAACTGTCTCCTCGAGTGTCTCCTCTTAGTAAGACACGACACTGCTCGTATATGACCGCTCCTCAACCACAGCTTGTGTAATATAACTAGTCCCGTAAACCGTTAGATGGTTTTATAGCCAATGCAAGACGCGTGTGCTTTTGTGTGGCTTTATTATAATCAATGGCTGATTTATAACGGTTTTGATTCATAAGGCTTAGCCCTGTCGACTTTATCACCCAAATCACTTCAAGTTTAATTTGGGCTGCTACCATCGGGGGGTAGTATGCGATAAACCATTTTAGCACTGCAAATTGTATAGCTCTTAACTTCTATTTACAAACAAAAAACTCGATTTATTATCTGAATAGTCTCTAAGTATTTTCATGCACAGCTAACCAAAAGTTCCTACTCAAAGTTCCATGCTATAAAACTCTATTCGCTAGAAAACATTCGGCTAAGCTGTTAAAAATCCTTACTGAAAAGAATTAATTCCCATCAGTTTTCAAGTGATGGCTTGTAATATCATTCCTCACCTAGGAGCTTGCGTTTTGTTATTCAAGAACCCGTTGCAAGCTGAAACCAGGCGAAGAAGCACTGGCTGCCAGCTAGGGAATAGGTTTTGGCTATCATTTAATACAAGATTGGGTTTCTTGCAATTTAAGACACCTCTGACTGGAGGGGAACGCTTCAAGCAAAAAAGAAAAACATTTATTTGTGACTTATGGCTTATGTAATATGAAAAAAATTTTATTTGAGCATTGATAGTACAAAAAGTAACAAAGATTGCTGCAAATCGCAAATTTATTTCTATTTTTGTCCGAAAGTATCATTAGTAATTCAACTCACAAATGAATGTTGGTATTATGCAATGGCAATATATGCGCATAAATTATGCTTTGAATCTGTTTATTTCAGTTGATCTAAACCTAGCCCTTATCTCATTAACCACTGCTTTTCACAAGTTTGATAATTAATTATCTTTAATTTATTTCAATGCAGAAGTCACGTTTTTAGATTTAAAGAAGAAATTTTAGATCTTGTCGAGAAGTTTAGATAACGAGCTATAAACAGATGATTAGACGAAAAGATTGACACGCGCACACAGCAGTTAAACAAGTTTCTGATCTATTCATATTTTAATTAGCAATACAATTGTCAAATTTTCTTTAATTTCAAACTATACCGTGGCGTTTACCTGACATCTGTTTTGTCTTATTACTTGAATTGTGCTGCAAATACAGTTAACAGGAGCTTCGTGTGGTTTCCTTAAAGTAACTTACATAGAATAGATTTGCATTGGAGACAGGGGCGTCGCCAAAGGGAGGGGGGTTTGGAGGGGTGCGGTATCCCCCTAAAAAACTCTTTGTGCGTCGGCACATCAAGGATATATAGTATATAGTATATAGTATCTATAAAGTAATCAAGTATAATATAAGTTATATATTTAGTATATAAGTTCCATTGAAAAATGTTGCATTATCTAGCTCATGACTAAATGAAACGAAACAAATTCTTTTGCTCAGAAATAAGAGAAAACTTAGTTCATAAGTTTTTTATCTTTTGGGTCATTGCAAAAAAATCTTGAAAGCAAAAGGTTGCAAACTATATAGCTAAACGAGAGGACGATGAACTGAGAGGGCTGGGTGAGGGGCACTGTCATCTAATTTTCAAATCTATGCAACGAAACTGTATCAAAAGCTTCGTTTCTATAAAGTTGATCTGATCCAAATTTTTCAATGGGTTTAACACCTTCAATGTTTTCAGTGTTGACAGATTATTTCTTTATCCAAGGAATTCATATACTACAAAAATGCCTTTTTGTTTCAAAGGAGCTAAGTCTGTAAATCATCGCCAAAATTGAAAGGACAGCTATCAGGGTGTTTAGTTTTATGCTAATTATTTTAAGTCAAACAAAGCATTAAGTTGATTGATATATAGGTCATTCCCGAGTTTAAATACGAAACATAGATACAATAAAGTATTGACTGCTTGCAATAAAGGTGCATTGATTACAGTGCAAAGAAGTTATGAGATTTTTATCATGATCCATGTCAAACGTTTTGACAGACCACGTATATTCTTTTTAGCCGAGAAGTTTTATTATCGAAACTTTTTACCACATCATACCTTATCAGATGGCCTAAAAGTTAAGAGAGAAACCTTACGTAGCATGAATACAGTAAAGATTCACCACAAAGGTTATCAATGCAACACTATGAAGCAACAGGCAATCGATAATTATCGATTAAGGTTATTACGTCAAACTGATGGATTTCATGCAAACATTTATTATCCATCTGCCATTATGATATGCAATTATCATACATCAACTCATTTAAGTGTAATCTTCACTTCATATCTTCGTTTCAACCGTGTACAGGAAATTGCTAGTCTTTCTGTCTAAGACAGTAACAATGGTCTTCAGATTTTGAAGATACTAAAGCTTTGTTATTGGACAACTGCTATCATGATGTTACTATCGAAGCCCGGGATAGAGCATCACAATTAAAACCAAAGACAGCTAAGCTATGCTATAATCTAAAAAAAATTTGGAACGAAAAATATTCAAAGGTGGAAAACTCTCTTCAACCAAGTAGCATTACTGCACCACAGCTGACATCAGCAAATCAAGATACCTGTGAATCCGCCCATTTTCCATTTTACAACACGTAGCTATAAATGATTTAGTAATGTTATAGCCATATTAAAACTGATTTAAAATTTGTTTCGACATGTGCCTGAAAATTTGTATGGTATTCATTTCTAATTTAGCAATTGGCCTATATGTGTCAGCAATCATATATAATGTTTGTACAATCAAAAAATTGTCAAAATGCTTCTTCACCTCCTTCAATCTGTTTTCTATAAGCAAAAGTCTTAAACATATGTCTTGAAATGTTAAATACAGTATTAATAGCATTAAACCTAAATCTTTGTTGTTTAGAAAGAAAACGGTTGCAGGTTCCTACTGTGAGGTTCACGCTTATCAGAATAAACAATGTAACCCAATTATTATATTTTTATATTTACATCCATATGGTATAATCACGGCTTGTATGCAGGGAACACGGAACCATTATTTTCTAAAATGTACTTAAAACAATAAAAAACGTCACCCTGTTTTGATTTTTAACATCTTAAGCCCCCCACCCCCCACCCCCCACCCCCAAAAAAATGCTTTAGCCCCCTCAATTCATAATATGTTCCGCGGTCCTTCCTGATATGTTGGAACTGGATGATAAATGATAAAGCGGCAGGTATCAAAAGTAGTTTTCAAACAGTGCTAGAGAGATAATCTATGCCGTAAGTCTTCGGTCGGTATAAAAATAACTTTCATCATATATCAGAAAAGCTTCTAGTTTGTCCCCCCTGAATGATCTAAACATCAATTAATCTTTAATCGCTTTTTGGATTCATCCCTAAATATAAGTGATTATTTGTGAAGTCATATATTTGACTGATTATTTAATCTTGTCAATGTAACAAGGAAATTACAGCATTCAGAAGCTGAGGCGCTTTTAGTCATGAATTCGACACGCGTAAAGGCGTCTGCCCTCACCCCGGTAGAGGGGCTTACTCAGTGAGTGAGTAGAAATCTTTAGATCTGAAAGAACTTGGTTTCATGAAAATTGGCATGCATGAAAAAAGTTACCGCTTTTTGCTCCAAAACCATATAAAAATTGGACAGGTGGAATATGAATATGGTCGGAAAGAAATTTCTTTATAGGGAAACTACCTGTTTTAGTAGGCATACTACCGTTTTTGTTAAACAGGGTCTCATTTTTCTGAAGAATATTCTAAAATTGTAAGGTCATTTACATTTTCTAAAAAGGATTTTGCCAAAGATATGCGAAGATTTAAGAGACAAAACACCCTTAAGTTAGGCATACTTCCTAGCTATCCTTTATAAAATCAGAAAAATAACTGATGTCCTCAGATAAACTGGGATCTCGAACAATATCCAAACTAGTATTACAAAAACCAATAAAGGTTCTATTCTTGCAAGTAAATTTTCTCTCTATATACTAGGTTCCAAATGAGTTAAGATTTCCTTTCGAAGACAAGTATGGGAACCAGCCGAACATCATCCTAAAGTACTTTGGTCATGCTTTAGGCATAAGTACATTCACAGAACTCAGATTAATGGTCAGCTAATGCTTCGTTAAGTGATATAGCAACAGTTGGTAATAGAAATGATGAAAAGCTTAAGCGCAAAGTTTCCCTACATCTTAACCTCAGTCCTTTTGTGGGGTGCATCAAAATAAGAAATTTCGATGATAAGTTAGTATTTTTGGAAGCACTAAAGCAGTTTGCTCAAAAAACTCTCTAAGAAATCACAGCATTATTTAGCCAAAATGCTTAAGGCCATTCACGCCTTTCTTCTTTAAAATAATATTATGTGGAATCAAACGGTTGATCGAGATGGTGGTCCTGATACTGCACGGGTTTATCCTTACTCTTTCCATTTAAAAATCTTTTAATAGCAAATGTACAGCTTTGCTATTTTTCAACATTACCAGTATCAATAGACGATTATAAACAACATGACTTGAAAAGCATTCATTTTCTCATCAACTCGGACAAAAAAGCCAGTTAATCTGTTTTGGTGGAGGCCTCAAGGCTGGGAATATGTGATAATACAGCTACATGTTTTGGAAATATCTTGTCTTGTCAAATGAACAGCAAAAGGTGTCAGCCCAGAAATTGAATATCATTTAAAAATAGATCAAAATTAAAAAACAAGGTCTAAATAAAACGCAATAAGCTTACAAACTGCACTCGCTGATTGTTTTAGCAAACTGCGCCCACACAATGTTGAACCCCAATAGATTGTCACACGAAAAGAGCGACATTTGGGGCCGAGCGTTTAATGTAGTTTCAGATATGGGTTAAAAATAAGTTAGTTACAGGTTGAATAAGTGATGCCACACGATCCTACCTGAGTTACATGATTTTCTCTGTCAAAAGGAAAAAACGCACGGAGATAAAGAGATGCAATATTCGCATCGTTAGGTATAAACGTTGGCTTGCATTGTCTAAGATAGATTCAAGAACGTTGCATTGAGGGTCACGATACTGATTCGTTCAAGATTTGAATGTCTTACCTTAGACTTTGTCGTTACCCTCTTCGATAGAGTGAATGTAGAATAATTTGCTGCTAAAAGCTCATGTGTTCTTTCAATCATCATAAAACGTTCTGAAGAATCGATAAAAGATCGCAATTTAACAACGTTAAATATGCATGCAAATATTCAAAGTGAATCGTCTTGGGACTTAACCCAAAGCTATGGATAAGTATCACGGGATGAAAAAAACTTAAAGGCAAGCACGAAAAAATGCCATACTGGTATCCAAAAGCCCCTTAAATCAAGGCTTGCGCAATATTTTGGAACTGGTCAATCGAAGAAGTAGCCCATCGAGGAATAGCCGAACAATGCAGGCTGGAGGGGTAACATAAAGAGAGAATGACAATCTAATAAACTGTGCAACATGGCAGAAAAGCAATCTGGAGTTGTAATTCACAATTCATGCAGAGTGTGTTACTTCAGTAAAGCTATAGAGATGGGAAAACTGTGACAATGCGAATCGTTGCAGAGCGGTCGCATTAAGTGGGGGGAGAATTCAAAGCCAGGCACAGCATTGCAGTAAAGCTATGATTTTTATGAAAATCCGTATCATCACAAAAGGCTTTATAATGTGCCAGTTCATGACATTCAATACCATCATACCAAGATGGTTGCTCAGCAGTCTGAGAAGAGATGGTGATACTACATCGATGCTACATCAAATGCACCACACAATTTTAGACATCTAACTAAGCATGTCTCAATTTCAGTGGCTTTGAATTTCATTGCCTAAAGTTTTACTTCCAAACAGCGGGTTCATGACTCATGACAAAATGAATTTATTATACGGTGACGTCATATGCATACTAACAAAGTGCAACAGTGTTGAAAACAAAAGAAAAAGAACAAAAGAAACCCAATGCTTGAAGCCCTCTAATTCTCCAGTAACCTTCTCACGGCCTTATCTTGGTTGGCAAACAAATTAGGTCATACCAGTGGGGGCTTGAATCTCGACTTTCAACATCAAATCATACTTGTTTTTAGTTTACATTAACTGCTATAGCAACTGGAATTCGTTAAATTACACGATAGCCAATTTGGTTGAGTTTTCTTAAAAACATCCTTTGGAAAAACATCACAGTAATTGTAAGTCACTTAATTGAACCTTAAATGAGCAATTCACCTCGAAGCCCATTGGACCAGCAGGATTACATGGAGCTTTGGCAGTAAAATGAGAATCAGTTTCCTGCATTGACTGAAGATACTCACGGGTATACATGTCATGTATTATGAATCAATTCTCAAAGCAAACACAACCAAGCATTTTTGGAAGTCTTAAGCAGCTCTGTAATGCCTTTTTACGCTTACGCTTTTGACAAGCCTGCTAATTAACAGCACTGTGAAGCATGATTCACCATCTCACATAAACAAGAAACGAAACGCCCAGCTAACAGAAATGTTTCCGCGTTCATTTGCTTTTAAAGGGAAATACACTTAGCCATAATCGTCTCTAAAAGTGAAATTTCTAAAAGACTTTTTAGGTAAACAGTACAAATAACATATGATATTTTGGAAACAGGGAGAAGTAAGAATTATATTTTCTATTCTATATATGATATCTAGAGAGAAAAAGAACGAGACATAATGCTCTTTTTCAGTTTAAGAACTGATTGCAAAATCTGGCGTTGTCCTTGTAGCAGGTACCACGACGATCAAGCACGTAAGTGGGAGTCAAAGTTTCAATTTCGTTACACCACGAGTTTCTTTTTCAGGCCTAGAGTCAGAAGACAATGGCAAATCTTTCCTTGTTCATTCGTACTCAGTCTTCTACTAAAACCGAAAAAAAAATTGTGGTAAAATGTTTCCTATTCAAGGACCTGCAGCTGAAAAGTTTTGAATGGAAACTATTCTCTCTGGAAAAATTGTGCTTTTAGTGAGAGATCCTGAGAGTAAAATGTTTTATATAATATCAAAGAGAAGAATGTTAAGTTCCAGGTTCAGACTACATACTCTCATTTCAGTTAATGAATAGAGGTTATTGAACTGCCATTTAAAATTATTCTAGAAGCAAGAAACTTAGAAACTAATAACATTTAAAAACTAAGAAGAATGAACTGATTTTGAAAGCTGAAAGAATCCATTGACTTCTTAAATAGTGCCATTCACAGTGCACCAACAGGGCGTGTTGATATTCCTACATACGATCAACTAACCTAGCTACATAATGCTGTACTTTTTCTGCATGCATTTCACTGACATTTCACCCTAAGATGCAGAAAAGACAATTTCAACTCGACCTTTTTACAAAACTACGGAAGGAAAATATTCTACTAGAACATTTAAGGATATCAGTGCAATTTCCTTTGGTTGCAAAGCTGATCGATTGAAGAGTAAAGAGGTCGTGGCAAACACAAAGCACATCGTAAATCTATCGTCACCAATAATTCCGTAAAATTCCTCAATTTCACTATGAACAGAAGAAACAATTCTTTGTTGAATGTCCAACCTTTTAAAACCAGATCAAACTCAACTGGCAGGTTGAAGCAAAATGAAATGCTCTCTCTTCCTTTTTTTAAGAAGGAGATGCAATTTCAAGGAAATCGGCAAGCTTGACGCGATTACATGAGCACGTTCCGTGACCTGACGCCTCAGGACTCAAGGAACCAAAAAATGTCAGGTCCATTTATGACGTCATTATTTAAGATATGTAAGAAACAAGATACTTTTAGATATGTTAACTGAAAACACTATCTGTAATTCAAGTCAAAACATTTCAGCCAAAGATACGCCTTTTAGTTCTACTTCATTAATTAAACCTTGTAGGACAGAATCTTGTCAACTGTCTACACCTTTCTTGCACTTTTTGGGGACTGTTAGTAGAACAATAATTTTTGTAAGTGATTAAAAACAGTACGGAAAATATTTTTTCAGTTCATTCATAGCTTTAAAGTTAATGCATTTAAGTTGTTTTAATTACATCACACAGCACCTATGCATATTTCTTGGCATGGTATTAGGTTCTAAGGTATTCTACGTGCTAAGCATGGAATCAGCTGCTAATGACTGCAGTACTATAATCAAAATCTAAATCCACAATCGTTACAATCTTATCAAAAGTATGGCTTCTTCTCTAAAACATTCCAACCAATTTCTTCAAGCATGTAGTCAAGCATTTCCCAACTTGCAAAAGCAGGTTGTGAACAAATTTGAGACCAGAACGTGAATCAGGAACTTTTCAGTACAGGTGAACAAATTTCCCATTAAACTGCAGCCAAAAAACTTCCCATTTCTTGTCTAAAAACAAGGTGTGCTTTTTTCGTGTTGCAAAAATTCGAGGGTTCAGTATCAAGCATTTCTGTAATGAAAAGATAAACGCAAATTGATAAAAACTTTTTGTTTTTAGTATTCCACTCTTTTGAAATGTGAAGGTACACCCCTCGTTTCGACTTTGCAATCTCATAAATTGCCGATTTAGCACAATTGTTAAATTAAAAAGGCTACTTCTAAATGCCTTTGCATTACAGAAATAAAACGGCCAGTGATATTTAGGCTAAGACATTTAATCATCAGGAGGAGGGGAAGGATGGAGTTTCAAATGAGGACTAACAAGGGGATGAGATAAAGATTTCTCCAAATTGTAATAAACAGCAACAAAAGATGGATTTCAAATATCTCATAAGTATATCTCATTAGGTATTTCCTCTTGTAAATCAATTTACGAACAACCAATAAAAACAAAACTAAGCAGCTTTGTTGAAACAATTTAAAGTCGTTGAACAAGCTTACGAAGGAGGGAATCTAATGCTAACAATTGCACTGTTGATTGACAAAAAACAATAAATGGAAGACGATAAAGAAATTGGAAATATATACTCAATTATTTGTACATGGATAAGATTTTAAGAGATTTGAGGGAATTTTTTTTAATTTTGAAGACAAACGACAAAGCTGGCTACTGTTGGAATGGGTCATCTCAAAGGAGTTGATGAAAGGCGAGCATAAGTTGTATGACGTCGACCTAGAGTAAGACTAGCCTGTGATACGTGCAGGTAAGGATAAGGCCTGACACGTGACCTTAACGGAACTGCTTCACCATGCACCTTGAGTTTTCCTAGACGTTAAAGGAAAGTTATCCACGTTTAAGTCGTTAAAGGAAAGCTTGTATCGCAATTTTTTGTCGATTTATGTTACTGATTTTGTCGTCACAATAATGGTTTGGTTACTATGATTCACAAAACATAAAGATATCTCTTTTTATTATCAAGCTACGCTTCCCGAAACCTGATGCTTTTTCTGCCTGTCAATGAAACTTTTTTTGCCTGAGAATGTTGTACTGGGCGGTAACAATCGTTGATTGTTGAAAAAACGCTGTTTTTCTGTTAAAGAGTAACCAATATGTTACGTTGAGAGTTCACTGTTTGCGCTGGAAAGCAGTCCAATAAGAACTGGCAGAGTGACTGTTCTCCGAAGCGAATAATGATTAGCTTGTAGCATTGAGATGTACTGCCTTTTTTAGATGGTTTTTGAGTAAAAAGAACATACTCGACTAGTGTAGACAGGCAGTTTTTCCCGAAGAACTTGTTGAGATGTAATGAACACGTAGGATGCGATTTAAAATATTTGAATTGGACTAAAAGGTCTGATAGTACCAGAGCAATTTTATGCCCTGGGTGCGTTTGCATCTTAGCGCCCCTAGCTGGATTGCTGGTTATTCATACCTCTTTAAAGCCCAATTTTCTTAGCTCATTTGCTTTTGCTTTCTGTGACTCAATTTCAAACAATATACGCTATTTAGAAACTAAAGAAATAATGTTGGCAGTTCCTCAGCCGGTTGTCCCAAATGATCAGATCAGACTTTTACCAAATGAAAATGGAACTAGACTACTTTAGAAGATATAAACATGTTTGATGTCTCTTGGTTGATTGGGTCATCACATTCTGTGAAGCTGCTCAGCTACCCCCTTATAAAACAAGCTACCACAAACTTACTCCAGTGAAATGACTAGTTAATGAAAACCATTGATAAGATTGACCTACCCACAAAGACAGTTCATAAGCACAATGACATAATTGCTCTTAGCTGTGCTGACTAAATGACAACCCAGCCCTCTATCTTATCACATGCATTGATGTGGCGCATGTTATCGTCTCTTGAACCAAAGTCTATTCAACATGTTATTACACTTTGATGTGGGAAGTTATAGCTATTAACCTGAACTTAGTGAACGTTGTTCAAACAACCACATAAAAAGTTCATTGACTTCAGTCTTAAGATTTAGGATCTATATAGCCATTATTAAGGTTGACCGAGAATACGATACAAATGTGAGAGTAATTCATGCTCGGTTTTATGAAATAGATAATAAACAACAATTAATAAGGCGAAACATTATACGAGGACACAGTGTTTCAGGCCTTCAAACCGCTGGCGTCCGCAAAAAACCGATAGATGCCCTTGTTGAAGAGTCTACGGAAGCGATCCGTTACATCGGTCAGACAAATGAAGATGGGCAGGGCGCAAACCCATCGCGTTTTCCAATCATTTCTCCATCAAGGAGTAAAGTCTTCGATCTCTAGTCACGTTTTTTCATGGCATCAGCAAACGGCCACTCAGCGAGGAGTGATTTGGAAATAGGTAAAATTTGATAATTGAAATCATATCTAATTCTCACCAAAAGTACCCCTCCCCTTGCAAGTCTAGATTGTTAATAGTTGAATTTTTTATTAATTCAAATATATTTTTGAAAAGTAAGTTCGATTTACCTGGCGTTGACTGTAGAAGTAAATAGGTACTTCAAATAAGCCAATAGTTCACAGAATGTGACATTTATAAATATTGACTACTATACCCTTAATTTAATTTTTCATCACAGATCTCTTTGAAGTCTCATCCCCAAAATCTCACAAACCTTTAGATCATGAAGCTGCTTCAAATATGCATAATTTTCTTCCAATTTTACTAGAAATCCCAAAGATTAGGTGATGAACGTTGAAAATTCATAATACTTATGTTCTTTTGTAATTGTATTTTGTTAATTTGTTTTTCTTTGATAATGGACTAGAATGTTTCATCTCAAATCACAAGAAAAGGCTGAGGTTGCTTGAATTTTTGTCAACTATATAGCTGCAATTGTCCCTTAGGTGCGATTCGACAACTGTTTGTTTTTCAAATGCTAAATGAAGCGATTATCTGCATCCACTCGACATAGGCAGTGGAAAAATCTTTTAGAAATTTCTTAACCTTTTTGTAATAACCCATCTATCCAGAATAACATTGGCTAAATGTTTGCTTTAATATTATTTTTTAATTTCTGGTTGAAACATTTTTAAGCACAATCTAGTAGAAAGATACAAAATATCATCAGACAATTTAATTTCAAAGTTCATTTTAAAAATTCAGTTAATTTGGGTTGAATCTTCTGATAAGGAACTTTAAATCAATTTTCTGACATTCCGACAAATGTTTTGCTACATTGATGAAATGAAAATATTTTAGCTTATATCCTTTCTCCTTGCTACACAAAAATTTCTACTAAAGTTAGGTTTTGTTTCTGTAACGGTTTTTATATTAGTATCAACGGTACCATAGCCATATATTGGTACCATAGTCTGGATTAAGAAACAACATGTTGATTATGTATAAGATACTGCATAAAATTAGCCTTTTCTGCTGGCTGTGAATTCGTTCAACGATCTACCACACTAGAAAAGTCAAATCAATGCTAAAAAGTCAGAAAACTGCATATTTAGGTAAAGTTAAAAAAATACTTTGTGCCAAGACACTCGAGCAGTTGTACACTCACGTACCTTGCGGAGGGCAAATTACAAGACCGTAAACACGACAAATAACCAACGTTGCACTCTTCGCGCTTCTAATCCTGAAACCGAAGAAATAATGGATAGATAATTCGATAATGCTTACGAAGGTTTTGCTAAAATTCCATGGTTAATCAAGTCTCCAAAAGCCTGTAGGCCACCCATGGAATTAGACTTCGAGTCAATAAGTATCGTGGGGTTGTGCTCACTCAAAACATGGCGCTCTCTTTTCTGGTGTAGACGGAATGTTTTAATCAATTGAGACCACTTAATAAGAATCATATATTATTATTAAATTTAAGTTAGTTTTAAAACATGTTGTTTATGTTGAAGGATAATGATTGGAAAAGATAATCAAGTGTTGCACAAATAAAGCAGAAACCTGACAAGATTTTTTCTGTTTTGTTTATCCAAACAGAAAAGTTACGTAAAGTCACGAGCCAGGAAAGTCAAATAACATGTGCAGTTTGGCATACTCCAATCACATAAACACTGAAAATCGCCTCATATTTCTAAGGTATTTGCTGTTACCATTTTAATATAAGAATGTCCTTTTTGAAAGGGGGATGTGGTAGGGTCGAGTGGTTAACAGATTCCTATTCTGCTTACACCAACTATTTTTATACTGATGATTTTGTATCTTATTTAAAAACACTGATGCACACTCCTCAGAGCACTGGGCTCTAGTTCGAAACGTGATGTTCAAACTCTACTGCTCGATAATTATACATATACGTGGTAAACTGCAGTAGATCTTTGCAATTTTCAATGCCAAACGTTCTTTATCAGAAATTATGCTCATACCATTTCCAAAGCACTAGTGTTCTTAAATCAACTCATATTGAATAGTAATGACAGAAAAGCGCTTAAACCGTCGTTCATCGTTCTTAAGAAAAAGAGACGTATCTTGCTTCTTGCCACGGAGTCCCGAGAGGTGCTTCATTGGATCGACACCTTCTACCATGCTCACTACGAGGGGCAATTCACCTCTGCAAATAGCGTACGAGATTTTCCCTAAAGCAAAAGGATTTCCAGGGATTTTTAGATAAAACAATAGGATTTTCACAAAAAATGTACGAGATTTTCTTGGAGTGATTTGCCCCTCGGCTCACTAATTGTCAACATTAAAGCTTCACCAAATAGCCAAAGTCTGCAAGGATCACATACATGCAAAACTACTCTGAAAGGTTTAGCAAACAGTACGTCTGATATCTCATCGGTCTATTTGAAGAGGGAACAGAGACCAAACGAAAAACTGACTTAAACCCTAGTATCATGAACTTGTCTTGGTTTGAAATTTATACTTGGACTAAAATGGTTGCAAAACGCTCTATTTTTTCATTCAGTATTTGCGCTGCATATATAGCAGATATCTGGTGATTTAACTGGAAATGAATGAGGAGAAATTCTGTGAAAATTCGTTGGAGCGAACACTGCCGTTAGTCCTATAAGACGACTGCACGTTGGCGTATTGACTACCGGACCGCAATTTCCTAAAGAACGTGGGAAAACCAGAACTCAATAGACAAGATTGCAAATTGATACATTAACGAGAATGACACTTGTGTTTTGATTGGAAATAGTTTGGTTTCCAGAACGTATTTGAAGTACATTGACTGGTTAATGAGAAAGACGAGTTGGTAATATCCCCAATTAAGCAAACACCGACACGTCGCGTTTAATCTCTTTTCCAATAATAATTTCTTTGATTGATTGGTAGTTTAATCAAAGCACTGAATAAGGAAGGATTCTTGTGACCGTTAAGCTTAAATGATAATCGACCACTTTTGGTAGTGACAGATGACAGGAGTGCGTCACTGACATTGCTGATAAGATTGGATTTGCAAAGCAGACTATGGCGAGCCCAGTCTTGGGTTACTTATCAGCGAGTTACCCTCGCAGAGGCTTTCATTGTTAACAGAAAATACAGAATATATTTTGACGGTGGACCCGAGGACTGAAACGCTAAATAGTTATGATTAACTAGGGGCGTGCAAGCGTTTTGAAGAGTGAGCAAAATGTTAGAAACTGCTCGTTTAAGCATAAAAATACTGATGTCAAGTTTTTCTTTTTATATTGTAAAACAGGGAAGAACTTTTTTATACATAAAACACTTCTATGGGAACCAATGAATTAAAGTTCAGGCTGGTAGTTCTTAATATCTTCCAAAATTTGAGGCCTGATTGTTCTCAATTTTTTTCGTAAATTATCAGGGTGTAAGCTAGCTTGTGTGCTCTTAGAGGGTGTTCAGGCCTCATTTGCCAACAAAGAAAGCGTGGCACCCTTTTATTTGCCTACAAGTTTGAAAAATTACCAAAAAAGCCCCCCCTAGATGGTGAAAAAATCCGCCTTTTTGAGATGAAATTTTTAAGGAGGCTTCACACATTGTTTGAAAAATACATTTTACAATAGCTCAGTCTAAATTTTATTTTAATTTGTTCGCAACTTTTATTTTTAAGCAATTTTTAAAATGATCTTATAAAAAATTTAAGTATGTTATGTAGCAAAGAATGTCAAGATGAACTGGAGAAAATTAATTCATCTACTATTTACAAATTGAATAAATATTCTATTAACATTCAATAGAATCTTAGAGCTTGAATTGTTTTCAAAGCTCCCAGCATTGGGTGAAACAAACGAGACATAACCTTTGTATTCGAAATCTCCTTGTGAGACCGAAGGTTAAATTTGCAAGTTCTGATTACTCAGTTTCCAAAGGCCAAAAATCGTCAACAAAGTTCCAGATGTAGTCAAAATAGCCTGTAATTATAGAGAATTTAAAGGTCTGATAAAAACATGGTTCAGTGAAAATAAACCCGCGTGTTATTCTTGCAGTGAATTAACTACAGTGAATTAATTATTCACCCTTCAAAATCAGCCTCGTGATAGTATGATTATGGTTGATTTGCTATTGGAAAAACTAGCATTAAATAAATCACAAAATGCGATATGAAACAATACAGGGAGCTATGGCCTCCTTACTTTTTCTCTAAATTAAAGAGCAAAATTAGTTCAAATTATTAATAAAGATAGACCTTTTGATAGCAAATTAATTGAACCAAAGTACACAAGTAAAACAGCGTCAGCAAAAGGTTTGCAGCAATTGGAGCTGGGAGGTGGGTAAGATGAAACCTTATTTACACTCCTCTCCCCCCAGTTCATGGTCAGTGGCGTGGGCCTTGCAATGGCTGATCAACGCCTTCCATAATACTGAATATAAAATCGTTTCTCCATGTAATTCAAACTGAGTTATGAGCTTTGAGTAAAGAATTGCTACTGTAATTACAGGACCACTACAACTTTTTAAAATATCAAATCTGTTCCTGGGTCATCGAGTCACCCAAGGAATACAGGATGCGACAGCAGAGCAGAGAGCAGAGACTGCCTGACCTTAGTGTAAAAATGACGCACAGTTTTAAGCCTTAGAATTCACATAAAAGCACAACATTTTGAGAATTTCAGGCCAAAAATAATTAGCTCTGTGCAATTATTTCCGAAATCTGCTGATGACACGAAGATGAGTTCGTGCTATGCATTACAAAACAGCTGTCGTAGGAATATCGTAACAACAGAATTCTCTGTTCGCCGTTTCACGCCCACGAAACCATGAAATCTAATCATGGCTTTCAGCAAAAAAGAAGGCTTTAGTTGCCTATTTAGAGGGCGTGAGCTGTAAAGCGATTTCAGCCCAACATGTAAACAGCCATGTAGGCCACAGAAATGGTCCAGATCATGTATAAAAAGGAACATCTTGAGAATACATCAGTAATTGTTATTGTTAGCTTCAAGCCATTAATGGGTCATTTAAATGGGTCAAATCTACTGGGTGAGCCCCTCTCTAGCACTTGTGTCATAAAAGAAACATTGTTCCCCGGCTCAAATAATGTTTTCCCACTGCAGGTTTAATATTTTGACTTCCTTTCATATTCTACAAGGATGACGAAAGGGAAAAACAGAAAAGATTTAAATTATTCCTGCTGACTTAAATTTATTACCACATCGTAACTTGCATCGAAAATGATTAAGCCAATAGCACTTGTTATTTTCTATCGGCGAAGAATTGAAAATCAAAACTTTCCATTTGACAGTTCCAATGGTACCAAAATTATCGTCACACCACTGAAGATGAAGTTTTCTAGTTCACGATCATACAGTGCAGCCATCCTTTTTGAAAAAGGAAGTTATATCATTATTACTTTTATCTCCCTTAATTGGATCAATAGCCTAATAAAGCAAATAGATGAAAAACAACTTTATAACCCTGAAATTGTTTTGCGCCTGTGTCTAATGAGTCTGTTATACAACTTTCAAAATAGCGACCCTCTCTACATAGGGTATTTCAAAAGGAAATTCACATCAACTTTTTTAACAAAGTTGATAATTATCCAAAAGGCATGGTGATAAGAGTTGGACGTAGTGTAAAAAGGAATTATGCCTTATCGAAACACAAAACTGAATTTAAAATCTGAAGTCAATGAAGGGAATTTGCTTTTCCTGTAGAAGGTAATATTGGATGCATGGTGGAGCATTTTAAAGCACACACGGAGAATAAAAGAAAGCAGGAGTTAGAACCCATCGAAACCCCTTCTATCATCTAAAATAATAATAATAAAAATAATAATGATTAAAATAACAATAATAATAATAATAATAATAATTATAATAATTATAATAACTTTTTTTTTAACATCTCATTTTCATTGAATACATTTTAAATTTACAATTATACGACTCGCTTTTACAAGCATCATATAATTGGCTTATCTGCATT